ATTATATATAGTAAATATACATGTTAAAAACAAAATAATACATTATAATTATTCATATATATATATATAATTCTATGTCTTTTAAAAGTGTTGGAGGAGAAAATGTAAATTTACAGAGTTTATTATATTAACTTTCTTACTTACAGTTTTGATTCTATTTCTTTATTCCTCTACAGGAATAAAAGATAATACCTTGTGTTATTTCTTTAGTTTTATACAGAAATCTATCTATCTTCTTTGTATTGTTAGTGTTAACTACATAACATGTCTATAAGGGGACCAGCAGATGGCAGAATGGTTATGTCGCTGGACTCTCATGTAGTTGACTGCAGTTCAAGTCAACTAGCTTAAAACTCATGCCAGGTGCGAGTGTGTGTGTGCCCAAAATCCCAAGAGGAGAATGGAGGAGAAGGGATTGCAGCATGGCCATCCCCCATGGGGAGTGATTTCTTATTTTCTGTCTCTCTGTCTCTCCAGCAAGTGCACGTGCCCTACAGCAAAAATCTCTCCAAAAAAAAATTTTTTTTAAGTTCAAATGTTATAGCCACTATAACTACATGTGTACACACACACACACATATATTGTTTTATACAAGTTTTAATCAGTTAAGCGGATTAAGGGGAAGCAATATGCGTTTATACTATATTTTACAATTACTAATTCTGTCACTGGTGCTCTTTGTTTTCCCATGAGGTATTTAAATGATATTTACATTACCATCTGGGGTTGCTTCCTTTCTAACTGAAAACCTTCTTTAAGTATTCCTATAAAGTGGCTCTGTTGGCAATATTTCCTCTAGGAATTTCCCCACATACTGTTTCAAATAAAGTCAGTTCTTTTAGGAAGAGCTTCAGAGCCCTCTATTTTTAAATACTGATTCTGTCCCTGGGCAACATCTCTGAACCATTACTCCTTCTACTGGGCAGAAGTGGTAGAGTCTGTTTTTCTATGCTTCCCTTTGCCAGCGTTGAAACTGCCCTGCAAGTGTAAAAGTGACCAGGCTAAGAGTTCTTAGCTGCCAAGTTTCCTCTATGAGTGGGGCTGGTGAATGCTGGGAGTTTCTGACTCAAACTCTGGTCACACTCACCCAAGTTTAGTCTCTACTGCTTGCTTGGTACTAGAGGAGGTGAGAAATGCTGGCAGCCTGCCCAGTCTGATGGGATATCTATCTTCTCTTAGAAGACAATAGAAAAAGGAGCCCTGTCTTGTTGGCTATACCCACATCAGTGGAGCTTTTGTCAAACTGAACTGGAAATGGGGAGAAGGCACATTGTGGCTCAAGTGTCACAACTCTCACTATTTTTACCAAAGTTGTAAGAGATCTTCTGAAATAAATATTTCATTGTTCAGAGTATGCTTTTAAGACAATCTATAGAGATTTTCAATTGTTCAATTAATTTTGACAGAAGGATGATACCATCTGAAAAAGTAAGTTAAATGACTTTAAAGTAGCCTTACTAATAGTAAAGCTAAAACGAGAAGAGTTTGAATAAAATTATTTCATAAAATACAAGAAAAATCAATATACTGCACAGATATTTTTCAACTTACGAAAGGATAACTTCCTGATAAGCCAAATATAGTCCGAAAATATGTTTTTTAAAAGGTTTTTACCTTAGAGCATGTGTGCTTGCCAAAGAGAAGTAGATACAGAGACAGTGAGAGGGAAATAAGAAATCACACACACACATACACACACACACACACACACACACACACACACACTCCCTGTGGGGGGCGGGAGGGGATGGCCACACTGCAATCCCCTTTGCTCCATTCTCTTCCTGGGATCTTGAGTACACACACACACACATACATGTGCCTGGTATGATTTCCAAGCCACCAGGTCCAGAATTCAAACCACAGTTGGTCATGTGGGAGTCCAGAAACATAACTGCTACACCATCTGCTGGCCCCAGTAAGAAAACATCTTAAGTCAAAAATGTGTTTAATATACCTAAGCTATCAAAATCCTAGCTCAGCCTAGGCTACATTAAATATGTTTAGAACACCTTACATTAGCCTATGGTTGGGCAAAATCATCTAACACAAAGTCTTCTCTTTTTTTTTTAGGTTTTTGATATTATGATCTCGAATTAGAATTTCAGGTAGTTCAAAAGAAATGAAAAAAAATCAAGTTGATGTGGTAAAGATTGAAAAAGGATTCATGGCAGACTTCTCTGCAAAAACGCCATTTAGCTGAGACCTAACAAAGAAGAAAGAACCAACCTTACCAAGACCAGAGATAAAGTTTCAGATACAGAAAATTGCTGGTGCAAGGACTCCTAAGGCAGGGAGAAGGTGGGTATTTTCCAAAAACTGAAATGCCCAGTGGAATCTTAATTTTGAAAGTAAACTAAAGTATGAGTCACTCAGAGAGATCTAAAAAGGTTAATAAAAGACAGGCAGTAGGGTTATCTCTGTCAAACTTCAGGCACTAGCTTCTGGGTGTGGAGCAATACCAGAGTATGGTGAGATCAGCAGAGAACCTTGTATATCTCTTTCTTCTCTCTTTTTCCTTAGGAAATCAATGAGGAAGGGGAGAAACAGCACAGAGTTTAAGGTTAAACAGAGTTTAAAATTTGCCTCCCACCTCTGTGACTTGCTTAGTGAATGTGGACAAGCATACACGTTCCCTCCCTCAGCCGTCTAGTCTTCACTATGAAATGGAGATAATACCGCCGGTTTTGCAGGACTGTAGTCAGGACTGAATAAGATACACAACATGTGTAGCTCTTATTTATGCTTTGGTTTTGGTAAAATCACAGGGAAGTGGGGGAGTATTTATTATGCGATCTCAGATACAGAATCCACACAGAGCATTAAGTGCTGAGCTGCAAACACCTGAACAACACCTAGAGCACCCTCCTGGAAATTACATGCCAGGTGCTGAGTATTCAAGAGTACAGGGGGGTGGGAACCAGCAGTTAGCGTAATGGCTATGTCGCTGGACTCCCACATAGTCAACCGCAGTTTGCGTCTTGGACCCGGTGGCTTAGAACTCATGCCGGGCGCGTGTGCGTGCGTGCCCAAGATCCCGAGAGGAGAATGGAGGAGAGGGGATTGCGGCGTGACCATTCCCCTGGGGGGTGATTTCTCGCTTTCTGTCTCTAATCTCTCTCTGTCTGTCTGGCGAGCGCACACGCCTTATAGCGAAAACCTCTCCAAAATAAATAAATAAATAAATAAAGAGTACAGGAAGGTGAGCAGATGGTGTAGTAGTTAAGTGGCTGGACTCGCACATGACTGACAGTAGTTCCAGTCTCAGACCTGGTGGCTTCAAGATTATGCTGGTTACATGTGCGTGTGCGCCCAAGATCCCAGGAGGAGAATGGAGAAGGGATGGCAGCATGGCTATCTGTCCCAGGGGGTGATTTCTCACTTTCCTCTCATAGTCTTTGTCTCTAGCTCCCTTTCTCTCTCTCTCTCTGGCAAGCACATGTGACATAAGACAATAACCTCTACAAAAAAAAGAGTATGTGAAATGTACTCTTTCCTTCTCTTACTGTGTCTCTAAAAGCATGACCAGCCCCATTGGGAGTATATTTTATTTTAGGAAATTAGACCTAAAAAGCAATACGATGCCTCCTCATTCTAGGATTTTCTAACTGACCCCCTATCTTGAGGGACATCCTATTACATATAAGCTCTAATTAACATTTTTTAAAACTACAAATAATCTCTAAGATCTTTAAGGGTTCTGGTTGAGCTATCATGTCAAATCCTCCCACTAACACAGACCCAGACACTCCTTTTACGGTTAGCAAGTTACTGCTTTGGACTAAATACTTTCAGTTTCATTTCTTTTAACTCATAGAAGAGGTTGCCTGACTTCTCATTTGCTCAGAGAAGAACTCCAGAAAGCCGCACAACAGCAAAGGGTGAAATCAAATTCCAGGGACCCAGGGAGAGACAAAGCAGGGATAGAAACGACTTCACCTAAACCAAAGATAAAAGAGGTAAGAACTCGTTATTACTTAAGGAAAGCAACTTCCTTTCTAGCTCTATAAGACCTCTGCTTGGAGACAAAGATCATAAAATAAGATCAGGGCTAGAATGGGAAGGAACTTAAAGGGGTTGGTGAGTTTTCTTGAAAGCCATCAGAACCAAGACGGGCAGTAGCAGAGCTTAGGATAGAACACAGAGTCTGTTACTAGGGAGTAGCTTGTCCCTCAGTGTCACTGCTTTGCTTGTGTTGAATTAGGCACCAGCAGACCTGGGGTAAAATGCAGACTTCAAAATGTCTTTCTCTTGGTGGACATTGTCTGTGTGACAAGGGACACAAATTATTATTGTCTTTGATAGAGCCTTAATACTGCTCCTACTGCAGCTATTATAGAAATCGAAAGGACTATACATGTGTTCTTTTCATGAGAAACAAAGAACAGCAAATAACATGCAGGGTAAACAGCCCATTTACACTGTTAAAGACAAAGCAAAAACTGAAACTCAGAATGAAATGTGAAGATTCATGAAGGCAGCATACTTTTTTTTAAGATTTATTTTGATTTTATTTATTTGTTTATTTTAATTTGACCAGAACAAGGACAGAGTGAGAGAAAGAGAAAGGAAACCACCAGGTGAGAAAGCAAGCCACCAGGTCTGGTATTTGAACCGTGGTCGGTCATGTGGCAGTCCAGCACCCTCCACCACCATGCCACCTGCCTACCTCAAGGCAGCATACTTTTTAATGAAACATTGGAACTTTGTTTTAAAGTGGATTTTTTTTTCCTTTACAAATAGTCCAGACTCACTAATTTCTTCTACTTACTTCTTTTGAGTAGGTTTTAGCTCCACTATGTACACAAAAAATTTCCCCTTAATCTTCTGTAACTCGTCATTAAAGATGACATCTTTTTTTCCCTTGATCTTTCCATGCCCTCAGACAGTGCTGATCTGGCCTGTGGGATCCATACCCCTGAATTCTTTGGCATGGCACTAGCCTCATTCATCACCTTTTTGTTTAACAGTTTTTTTGTCTCCTTTTTGGCTGCTTATGCTATTCTTTCCAAACACCTTCTCTTCTTGTTAATATTTCTCCTCTTCCAAATGGAAAAACAAAGAACATAATATTGTATTGCTGCAAATATAGGTATTTTTCTTTAAACAACTTCCTATGTAGCTTTTTCAATCTGCTTCCTGGTCCTTTCATCTTTATTTCAGAGTCTCTTTTGCTACATTTGGTATTTGCAGTTGCTCACTCCTGCTATCACTGACAGCCCACCTTTTGGGCTGTTCGTGCAGCCTGCCTTCCACCCGTAACCAGTCCAATCTCATTCCTTCACTTTGGGTTTTGTATGTCACTTTTTCCCTTTTCTAAAACTTAAATACTAAAGTCAACCATGAAGCTAGCTGGACTTGTCCAGAAGTCCAGGGACAATTGTCTGATTTAAATTGTGTTAAGATTTGTTCAATTAAAACTCTATTAAGTTGGCTGGTTTATTTTTCTTTTACCAATTGTAAGTAAGGATTACTGAATGCAAAAGTAAATATTGAACTTGTTATTTATACCCAGGATGCAAAATCTATTTTCTAAATTGTGTTCTATTTTTCATTTGATGTCTAGAGTAAATTTTTAAATAAGAATACAAAAGGAAATTTTTCCACAATAAATGAAATGGAAGATTCAGACCATGAAAGTAGTTGAATGTTGATAAGTCTCTGTTATACCAACATTTTTTTTTATTGAATTACTCTGATAACACGTCCATGACTTTATTTATTTATTTGTTTGTTTATTTATTTATTTATTTTGGAGAGGTTTTTTTGCTATAGGGCACATGCACTTGCCAGAAAGACAGAGAGAGACAGAGAGACAGAGAGACAGAAAGGGAGAAATCACCCCCTAGGGGGGATGGCCATGCCACAATCCCTTCTCCTCCATTCTTTTCTTGGGATCTTAGGTACGCATGCACACGCGCCCAGTGTGATTTTAAGCCACCGGGACCAGGACTCGAACCGCAGCTGGCTACATGGGAGTCCAGCGACATAGCCATTATGGCAACTGTTGGTCCCATCATGACTTTAAAATGATACAGATTTCTCCTCAGCTATCCTTGCTGACACACAAAATTTAGGGACATGATGCAGAATTGTATGACTCTGCCTTCTGAATGCGAAAGACCAAAAATTCTTACTCATTTCATCTCTTTTGCAGGCAAGGAAACATCCTGGAAATGGCCTCAGAGAACCACATGCCAAGCCCAGTGTGTCTCATTGAGAACACTGAAGGGCAGCTAGTGGCCAATCAGGACGCTCTGAACATCCTGTCCGCCATTACGCAGCCTGTCGTGGTGGTGGCTATTGTGGGCCTCTACCGCACAGGCAAATCCTACCTGATGAACAAGCTGGCTGGGAAGAAAAAGGGTGAGTGGCGTGATCTTGGATGATCACCTTCTGTGCAACCACACTGTTGGCATCCACTGTAGGGGAACGTGAGGGGAGAAGGTTAGAGGTGGGAATGAACAGTGAAACTACTTTTCTACCCACAGTAGGGTTTTTAATCTTTTTTCAAGGGAGTGAGACTCAGCTCATTAACTTTTGCCCCCATGCCCTAGTTTTCCCTTAAATGCATAAACTGTTATTTCCTAGAAGGAATAAGGGGAAAAGTAAACCAATAATTAGTGTATGTAATAACAAACTGTAATAAAGTAAAAGACATTTATTAAAATGTTCTTACAGAAACAGCAACTTTCTATTAGGCTTCAAGGTTAAAAAATGTTTAATCTGTACTGAATTTTTTATTTTTTAATTTGCCAGAGGGCACATGCGCTTGCTAGAGCAAGACAGAAAGAGAAAGTAAGGAAGCATCATCCTGTGGAAAATGATCACATCACAACCTCTTCTCTATTTCTTCCTCCTTTTGGGATTTTGAGCATACATGTACCTGTGCCCTGTATGTTTCTCAAGCCACCAGTCTGGGATTTAAACCGCATGGTCAATCACATGATTCAGCTTCCTTAACTACCAGGCCCAGGCTGGCCCTGAATATTCTTTTTTTTTTTTTTTTAGAGGTTTTTTTGCTATAGTGCGCATGCGCTCACCAGACAGACAGAGAGAGACGGAGAGATAGAAAGCGAGAAATCACCCCCCAGAGGGGATGGCCACACCGCAATCCCTTCTCCTCCATTCTCCTCTTGGGATCTTGGGTGCGCACGCACACGTGCCCGGCATAAGCCACCAGGTCCGGAATGCAAACCGTGGTCGACTACATGGGAGTCCAGCGACATAGCCATTACGCTAACTGCTGGTCCCAATATTCTTTCATTTTTCATTGCAGTAAAGTGTAGATAAAATATATACTTGGGGCTATTTTAAAATGTACAATGCTGTGACATTCAGTAAATTTACGTTGTGCAACCATCACTACCATCCACCTCCAGGACACTTTCAGTTCCCCAGTAGAAACTCTGTGGCCATGAAACATTAACTCCTCATCTGCCTCCACTTCCCACCATTCTACACTCTGTTTCTATGAATTCGACTACTCTAGGAACCTTATGTAAGTGGAATTATATAATATTTGTCCTTATGTGACTGGCTTATTACACTTAGCATAGTGTCTTCAAGGTTAATCAAAATTACCAAGTGTCAAAACTCTTCTTTTTTAAGGTCAGATATGCATCTATATACTGATTTGTTTAATCATTTAGCTGCTGATGGACACTCAAGTTGCCATCATCAGGCTATTATGAGTAATGCTGATATGAATATGGGTACATAAATATCTGTTTGAGTCCCAGCTTTCATTTTTCTGGGTATGCATTCAGAAGTGGAACTTCTGGCTCACATGGGAACTCTATGTTTAACATTTTAAGGAATCCCTATATTATTGGGTCATCAGGAAAGTCATGATGCATTTTGCACAGAAAAACAGAAAAATATGTCATGACTTTCCTGATGTCCTAATATTTTCCACAATGACTACACTTTTTATATTCCCATCAGAAATACACAAGGGTTCTGATTTCTCCACATCATTGCCAGCATTTCTTAATTTCTGGGTTTTATTTTTATATGTATATTGTGGCTAGAATAACTCTGGCCACAAATGTCAATTTTTGATAAAATACAACATATCTATTTTTCTGATGTCTATGCTTTTGATGTCATATCCAAGAAATCATTGCCAAAATGACTATCATGGAGCTTTTCCTCTATGTTTTCTCCTATGTGTTCTACAGTTTTTGTTCTACTATGTTTAAATCTTTTATTCATTTTGGTTAGTTTTTTTTTTCTCATATTGCCAGAGGGTGCATGCACTCACCAGAAAGAGATAAATAACTCTGGCCACAATATACATATAAAAATAAAAAGATTAAAAACCCAACTCTGGGTAGAAAGTTAGTTTCACTGTTCATTCCCACCTTTATACTCAGGGTATAAAGTAGTATTTTATTGTGGTTTTGATTTGCGTTTCCCTAGTGATGTCATAGGGCATCTGTTCATGTGCTCAGTGACTATTCGTACATTACCTTTGAAGAAATGTCTATTTAAGTCTTTTAATCATTTTTAATCTGGTAGCTTTTTTCTAATGCACTTTAGATATTTGTTACATATTCTGGCTATCAATTCCTTGTTAGATATATGTTTATCAAATATTTTCCCACTTCCCATATATTGTCTTTTTTTTTTTTGGAGAGGTCTTTGCTATAGGGTGTATGCGCTCACCAGAAAGAGAGAGAGAGACAGAAAGTGAGAAATCACCCCCCATGGGGGATGGCCACGCCACAATCCCTTCTCCTTCATCCTCCTCTCAGGATCTTGGGCACACATGCACATGCGCCTGGTGTGAGTTTAAGCCACCCGGTCCAGGACTCGAACCGTGGTTAACTACATGGGAGTCTAGTGACATAGCCATTACGCCAACTGCTGGTCCTGACACAGATGTGAATTTTTGATAAAATTCAATGTATCTATTTTTCTGATGTCTATGCTTTTGATGTCATGTCCAAGAAATCACTGCCAAAACGACTATCATGGAGCTTTTCCTCTATGTTTTCTCCTAAGTGTTCTATAGTTTTCGGTCTATTATGTTTAAATCTTTTCTTCATTTTGGTTAGTTTTTTTTTTTTTCTCATATTGCCAGAGGGTGCATGCACTCACCAGAAAGAGATAAATAACTCAGAGAAAGGGAGAAAGCACATTCCACTGGGGCATGTTCATGCTTCAATCCCTTCTCCTCCATTTTTCCATCCTATTGGGGTTTAGTGCACACATACACACATGTAGAGTGCTTTCTGAGCCACCAGGACCAGGATTTGAATTGTGTGGTTGGCAATGTGGGATCAAGCTCCCCAAACCACCAGACTACAGGGCCAGCCCATTTTGTTAAAATTCTTCTATGATATAACTTAACATTCTAATTGTCCAACTTCCCTTTTTATTTTTCTATGTGGATATCAAGTTTCCCCAATTTCACTTTTTGAAGAGACTCTCTTCATTCAGTGATCTTGGCACTCTTTTTGAAAAATTATTGTGATTATTATTTCTCATACATTCAATCACTATACACCATTTAGCATGTAAAGAGAATTTACCCAACATAAAATACAGCTCAGACCAGTCCAGTTGAGAATACTGTACACATTATCATCAAGTAATAAACTATTTCTGTGCTCTAGAAATGTCTTACCTCTCTGTTTTTTTCTCCCTAATTTCCTTTCTTACAATCTTCCCCTCTCCCATCCTCTTTCCACACTGTCTCCCATGTCCATAACTATTTTCAATGTTTTTAGATCTTCCAATCTTTCAGACTCTACCATAGAGTGGAGACAGTTGGTATATGTTAAGTGGAGAAATATAATGTCTCTCTTTGATAGTCTGACTTGCTTCACTCAGTAAATCCATATTTATCCACTTTCGATCAAATACCATGCAAGGCTCTTATTTTTTTTATAGATGAATAGTATTCTATGGAGTATATGTGCCACTTTTTCAACCCCTTCATCTGTTCGTGGACATTTGAGTCAGTTCCAAGTCTTAGCAATCATGAATAATGTCACAATAAACATAGATGTGCAAACACTTTTCCAACTAAGCATTCTCCTGTCCTTTGGCTAGATACCCAGGAGTGGGATTGCTGAATCATATGGTAGTTCTATTTGTAGATTTTTAAGAAAACTCCCTATTGTTTTCCACAGTGGCTGGACCAAATTACATTCCCACCAACCAGGTAGAAGAGTTCCCTTTTCACTACTACCCCACCAACACTTAATGTTTTTGTATTTTTAATCTTAACCATTCTGACTAGGGTTAGGTAGTTTTGACTTGCATCTCCCTTATGAAGAGGGATGCTGAACATTTTTTCATGTTTTTTGACTGTTTGTATGTCTTTCTTAGAGAGTTGTCTGTTCAGTTCATTTTCTCATCTTTTAATTGGTTTAATAACTTTTTTCAGGTAAACCATTTGAGTTCCCTGTGTATTCTGGTTATTAGTCTCTTATTTGAGGCATAGTTTACAAAAATATTCTCCCATTTCAAGGGTTGTCAATTCACACTAATTACCGTGTCTTCTGCTATGCTGAAACTTCTTAATCTGATGTAATTCCACTTGTCTATTTTGGGGAGTATTGCTCTGACTTTCAGGATCTTATTTAAGAAATCTTTGCCTATCCCAGTGTCTCCCCGAGTTTCTCCAGGGTTTTCCACCAGTAGTTTCATAGTTTGAGGTCTTAGGTTTAGGTCTCTGATCCATTTTGAGTTGACTTTTGTTAATGGTGAAAGATGGGTATCATTTCATCTTTCTACAGGTGGATACTCAGTTTTTCCAGCACCATTTACAAAAGAGGTTTTCCTTTTCTCACTGGATTGATTGATATCCTTTGTTAAAAATCAGTTGGCTGTATATTTTGGAGTTTATTTCTGGAGTCTCCATTCTGTTCCATTGGTCCATCTGCCTGTTTTTGTGCCAATACCATGCTGTTTTGATGACCACAGCTTTGTAATATATTTTAGGATCAGGGAATGAGATGCCACCGACTCCATTCTTCTTGCACAGCATTGCTCTGGCAATATGGGGTCTTTAATGATTCCAGACAAATTCTATGATTATCTTTTCTAGATCTGTTAAGAATATTCTTGATCCTTTGATTGGAAGTGTGTTAAATATGTAGATTAATTTGGGTAGAATTGCCATTTTGATTATATTAATTCTTTCAATTCAGGAGCATGGGATGTCCTTCCACTTTTCTGTGTCATTGTTAATATCTTTTTTAAAGATTTTCATAGTTTTCCTTATAAAGGTGTTTGACTTTCTTGGTTAGTTTTATCCCTAGGTATATTACACATTTTGTGCTATGGTTAACAGGATTATATCCTTCAGTTCTACCTCAGTCAGCCTGTTGTCCATATATAGAAATGCTATAAACTTTTGGATGTTGATTT